TCAGAATGGCTAAAGTTAACAACTTGGGAAACAACAGATGTTGGTAAGGATGCAGAGAAAGGGAAACCCTCCTACACTGTTGGTGGGAATGCAACTGGTGCAGCCACTCTGGAAAACAATATGGAGGTTCCTCAAGAAGTTAAAAAGAGAGCTACCCTATAACCAGCAATTGCACTACTAGGTATTTATCCAAAGGATACAAAAACAGTGATTCGAAGGGGCACATGCACCCCAATGTTTATAGCACCACTTTCCACAATAGCCAAAATATGGAAAGAGCCCAGGTGTCCATTGATTGATGAATGGATATGTTACTCAGCCATAAAAAAGAATGAAATCTTGCCATTTGCAATGCTGTGGATGGAACTAGAATGTATTATGCTAAGCAAAATGTCAGAGAGACAAATACCAAATGATTTCACTCGTATGTGGAATTTAACAAACAAAAGAGATGAACATAGGTGAAGGGAAGGAAAATAAAATAAGATAAAAACAGAGAGGGAGACAAACAATAAGAGACTCAACTATAGAGAACAAATTGACGATTGCTGGAGTAGAGGTGGGTGGGGGAATGGGGTAATTGGGTGGTGGGCATTAAGAAGGACACTTGATGTAATGAGACCTGGGTGTTATATGCAACTGATGAATCACAAAATTCTACTCCTGAAATTAATAATACACTGTATGTTAACTAACTTGAAGTTAAATAAAACAAACAAACAAAAAAGAATTTACAATCAACCATTTGAAACTAAATTAGCAATTTAGGAAACTAGATGATCTAAAGCAAAACCTTTTCTTCTTTCTACCTTCTTGGTCTTTCCCTAAATTTCAGCAAATGAATTAATTTAAAAAATGCATCTACCTATCAGAATATTTTGGACATTGGTATGTTATTTTTGGCCAACTGTTCAAATGTTACATTTTTATTAGTTTCCATTTGTGGTCATGTCAGATATTTTCTTGAAAGGATGAGGTCATGAGAAAGAAATTTAATTGGATCACAAAACTGCATACTTTTCTGTATAAAAGATAAAGGCTAAGAAAAGAGTTCATTATGCTACAAGAAAGAAAGTAACCTTTGGGTACAGGACTACCATTTTTAATGATTAAAGACAGAATTTACTGTTAGAAATATATTCATAATAGTGACTTCATTTTAATTAGGAACTTCATCCATACTTCAGCAAGCACTATGAACTCATTAGGATATGTTAAGTTACAGTATGGCATGGCAGTTGATGAAAAATGTAAGGGGAAATTAAAAAATAAATTGAGCTTAGGGTATTAGAATACATAAGTGATGTTCAATTGACAGGGAATTTGACATACACAGTTCCTTTAGAAGAGGCAAAAGAAGAAAATATGAAATATCTCTCCTAGGAATGATTGCATTAAAACCTTGAATATTTTAATTACGTGTTTCAAAACAGAAAGATTTGACTAGAAGTTAATGGGGAGTAAGCATTAGGATTCAAATATAACCCCAAAATAACTCTCATTTAAAAAATTACATTCCAGTTATTAAAGTTAAGATAAAAATTGTACTATTAAAATTGCACTTGACTGCCAAATATTGTGGGATCCTATTCTCAGTTGATTCATTTTGTTGCCATTAATAGAAGTTGCATGAGTTCAAGGAGGATATAATTCAAGAGAAGAACAAAAACAACAGACAATAGCGTTGTTTTGAGCAAGGAGCTCTTTAGGACTGTATATCGAGTCACACATGAATGGTCAAGTCTACTTTAAGATTCAGTGAGTTAAGAACTGATTGTTGAACAAAAAGTCACTAATATAATTCATGCTTTCAATTTTACTTATCTAAACAATAGTTATTCATTTAGGGTTATTCTTATTTTAAATAAAGCCATAAACTTTATCATCTTATATTTTCTGTTTATTCAGTGTTTACTTTCTTTGCAAAGCTGATCGGGGCATTAGAGATCAGGACTAATGCTGAGGTCAATTGCAGAATTCTATCTAGCATGCATCTTTCCAGGACTAATGCACTTAAAGGATCCAGGACACAGTGAGTAGTTTTATATCAAGTAGACTGTTGAGAACATGGTAAGATGATTATTAAGAACAGAGGTGGAGCACAAAGTTGGTGTCTAGTAGGTGTTGCGCCAGACTGATTGAATGCATCATCAAAGTTAGATCATGGAATAAGAAAGCAATTGAGTCTATCTTCTCATAAAACCTTTCAGTGCAACTGTTCCCCCCCCCTTGGATTTCTAAGATCCCCTCTTTTTTCCTCCTTTGTTAAGTTCATATCTACAGGGTTGAAAATAGCCTTCCCATGATGCCCCTGGACTTACATTACAAAATTGTGATTCTAGTAGTTGCTCTGAGTCACTGACAGGTGCTAGGTGTCACAACATCCAAGTTGGTAGTCTTTTTAAAAGCATGTGAAGACAAGGTCAGACATTTTCTAGGAGCCTGAATGAGAGCCACCATGAGCATAAAATACATCTATAGAATTCTCAAAATCAGGAAATTTTACAGGTTATCAAATGTGAGAGATTGAAGAAGGTCAAACTTGGTTTGAAAATTGTGCTAAAATTCTCCCAAGATTTGGACTATGCAGGGGAAGTTGTACACTCAGTGACCTTGTTAACAATAGTAATAATAATAAAATAACGATTTATTGATAACATATGTGCTAGGTACTACAGTAAGCCCTAACCTCATGTATCCTTCACAACAATACAATCTCTATGCATTATTTTAATCATTTCATAAATGAAGAAATTATAGCTTGAAGAGGTTTAATAACTTGTCCAAATTGGAGGGGAGGAAAAAAACTACTTAAAAGGCAGAAGCAGGATAGGATTTCAATCCTTGCGTAAATACAAGGCCCAAGCTTTTAAGGATTACCTACACTGCTGAAATGATTTTCCACTTTTAAAACATCAAAACATGGCAAATATCGCTGTATAATATTAGAAATACATTGAAAAACTAATTTTCTCAAGGGTTTATTGCTACAGAGGAGCTCCCAAGCCTTTTCTTCTTTCTGCGTTTGCCATTAAGTTCATTATAGTTAGCTCAAAAGATACTTCTTCCCTGTTCTTCTTTTAGGCTGAAGGTTATATATTTCTTTACATTTAACAGGAGATTTCCCTTTCCTTCCCCACCCAATACTTTGTTTTCTGTCTTTTGATCTTATTGTGTGTTTTCATTGCTGGATAATGGAAGGACCAGGAAAGAAAAGCCAATGCAGCTCAGAGTTTCTAAATCATTGTCAATCAACATCTTCAATGGTTAGTCAGTTTCCTTTCCCTTTTTATTTATGGACACTGATTTCCTACAAACTTTAAGAGAAAAACCCCATCCACTTAGGTTTAAAAGCAGAGTTCAGCTCTTCAGAAAACCTGTACTATTTGAAATCATAACCACAGAGAAGACCTCTGTGAATGCACTTGTAAGTCTGGGCTGCTGAGTGCACTTTGTTTAGTACTACCTATTAAGTTTAATTTCTGCAAGACATCTATAATACAATTGGCTTTAAGAGTTTAGAAGCCTGGCTCAGGCAAAGGCCACACATTTCCAAGAACCATGTTATTTTGTGAAGTTCCTGCACGTACTATAAAATAAGAATACCATTTACAATTAGGTTCATTTTAAATAGATATTTAAAACAGTAGTATTTTCATCAGAAATATTTTTTTGGCATCATTCATTGAACTGGGGGAAAGCACAGATAGGAGTGAGTTAAACTCTTAGCTATTTTTCCCAAAATCCTTGTCTCCTTGCTCTATTATTAACATTTGTAAAGATGACTCTGAGTTTATTGTACTTCTACATATAGCATTCCAAAGCAAGTTGAGGTATATTTCTCAATATGAATAAGCATGTCTGTGGACTTTGCAGCTGGGAAGTTGAACATGCAAAGCAAGAAGGTTATGAGGATGAGGATGTTCTAGAATATTCTATGAAAGCAAACCACTGGGCTTGCCATTGCTAATTAAAGTATTCACTGAGATCCTTCAATGTCTCTAGATTTAGAGATTTTCTCTTTTTAGCAGCACCCTGGAAATAGCACCTTTTCTTTTCTGTTTTAAATATTCCAGTAGCTTTTGAAGTGCTTAACTGGATGCCTTGATGATAATGTCCTGAATTTATAGTACCTTTCAAGTGTAAGTACTTTACAAATGATATGGAAGGCTCACTCACCAAAGACTATGCTATCTTACTAAAGCTGCTGGAGATTTAAATAGGCAGGAAGCCACTTGAAATTGACCTGGGAGGCCAAGGATATGATCTCATTTCTACCGAAAAATGCCCTGGGAGTACCAACGACTTCAAGAGGTCAAGAATTTTAGCTTTACATTCCTTTTCCAAGACTACCTTTGGCTGTCTAGGGCCCTCCTGGGGCAATGCTCTCTGTTCAGACAAAGGCAAGGATTTTACTAATTGAATCACTAACACTACTCCTCTCCAGGTATTGTATCATAGTACCAATCAGAGTTTAGACCTCCTTTATCTGTGAAATCTGACCCTGTCAGAGTACAAGGAAACTTTGCTTCAGGCAGAATCTGTAAAACATCGGGATTATATTCCTCTCTCCAATCTCTTATCAAATGCTACTTTTTTTTTTCCTTTTTGGAGGGAATTTCTTGACTTTCTCCATAAATACGATGAGAAATTTTGAATGTGAATGAGTTTACTTTCAAATGTCTGTTTTCTATTTCTCTTATACAAAAATTTTAATTCATAAAGTTTCCTTGAAAAGTTCAAATTATACATAGAACACAAAACTGCTTAATAGTCGTTAATTTAAACTTGTCTCTCTAACTTTCATATTATTTCCTCTTGATTTTAAGTATTCTTCATATGGATACATATTTAAAATTCTTTTTCTAGATGCCACAAAATCCTAGAAAAGACATACTTCTGAATTTATAGTAACAGGTTTCCCTTTCATAAGTTTTCAAGTGAAAAATAGTAAACTAAAAGGTGAAATTTTTAGTCATCTGAAAAACTTTTTTTTTCAGCTCTGATGATGCCTTCAATAAAGTCAACTTAAATTACCGCACAGAAAATGGGCTGTCTCTACTTCATCTATGTTGTATTTGTGGAGGTGAGTGCTTGAAACTCAATACTTTACAAACTAGTTGTATGTAGGTCAATGATTTGAGGTGCTTAATAGTCTACAAGAGAATTCTATTCATGCTCAATTTTCTTTTTTGCTTTGTCCCTACAACCCTGATAACCTTCAGTTGAAGCAGTAACTACCAGGCAGATGTTCCAAATGATTTAGCTCTGAATTTAAGTTTCACTGTGTTCCTACCCTGAACCAAGTCACTTAATTTGCTTGGAAATTAAAACAAAAAAATTCAGTATTGGCCATGCCAGTCAGGGATTAGGTTAAATTCAGAAGCACTTAAAGCATTCCCTAAAATATCATCATGCAATCACTTTACAATCTGCAGTAAAATATGTGTAAGGTAAGATAAATGCCAAAGATGAAATCTCAAAGTGAAGATTGATCAAAGTGAAGATTTAGAGTTTAATTTGGCTCGTATTTTGTTCAGTTTTGTTCATTAATGTATCCCAAGCACTGGCATATAGTAGATAATACATTTTTAAATTAATGAATGATTAATATTTACTTTGTTAATACAAACTAGAATTCATTGAACTCAGGTTTTAAATAAAAAACACTAATGCAGATATATTGACTCTAATCATATTCCTTAAGCATTCCTCCCAGAACAAACTAAACAGACTCTACCTAACAGATCTTCTAAATTTAAACATGCTTTCCCAACCTTAGTTATTTCTTCCAGATTTCTCTGATCTAAATAAATAAGCTCTACTGCTAATGATGTTCTGAGGAATCCTGTACAACTAGATTTTTATCTAAGCTTTTTCACTGTTTATTAAATGAATTTTCATGTTTTTATGTTTTAAAACCAACTGATGAGAGTACTACAGAAAAAAATGTAACACAAATGATTTAAGTAAACAGCACTGATACAAAGTTCTGTAAGTGTAATAGAAATGTTCATTACTAAGGATGGCTGTCAATTAATAGAAGACTTTACAAATGGCCCGCAGAACAGCAGTCTGACATTTTTTTAAAATATTT